ACAGGTTCCCGTGGATGAGTTACCGGGCTATCTGTTTACTCCATCTTGGGCCTCGGGCGCAGCACCCGAGTGGGTAGCAAGTTTTTTGACATCTTGCTCTCTTGATCCAGCTTACTTCCCCATAGAAATGGTGATTTCGAGTCTACAGCGGTTTCGATCCGAGTCAAGTCAACTCAAGTCAAGTCAGGTTACAAGACTTTAGGTATCGACCAGTGGACGCCCAGGTGCTTGCACACGTGAGCTGGTGATTCCCGCTGTGCTGCGACTGCCAGGTAGTTCCACAGTTGTGATGGGTGTGGTACCTAAAAGGAAAGAGATGAAGAGCAGGATCATCCTCGGGGTAACAGCAGTCTCAATCATTTGACAGGGGCCGCACCTCAGCGGACTGCTACTCCTGCCATGAGAGTTTCCCGGGGGCTGATGACAGAAAAGCATTTTTTGTGTTAATTGTGCGTGAGGTGCGTGATGCAAAGGAGTGATGTCAGAAATAGGTAACGGCTACAAAAGGAGGATGTGGGTAGTGATTGAGACTTGTACTAGTCACAGCTTAGGTCAAGTCAGGTCAGGTTGCACAGGACTGGTAGTGGCCACAAGCCAATCATGCGTCCAGAATTCCTTCGGTGGTGTGCTCGTGAGTATGCATCCACCTCTTCAATTGATCGGTTTCTTCGCCCATCTGCAAACAGAGAGAAAGAGAAACCTTACTTCTCGCCGTGTCGACGAGAGACTTTTATTGTGAATGCGTTCCATGTTGCATACAAAAGAGTTCGGTTCAGTTCAGTTCTCACAGGACGAATTGTGGCCTTTGCCAATCGCGCGTCCAGTTACTTGTGTTGTTGGCGGTTTCGTTGGCTTCCAACACTTCGAATCAATAGTAGTTTCTGAAAGGCAGAATGTTAGTGTGCAGTATCAGATCCCTTACAGTGTTTAGGAAAGTAAAGCCTAACGATTAACTTTCAACACTCAACTTCGGGAAATGCCACTGCCCAGCATTCATCCAGCCTTCTTTTGAAAGATTCGACATTAACACAGTTAATTATTGCTTCAGGTAATTTATTCTACAGTGGTATAACTCTGTTTGTGAAAGACCTAGCTCGCAAATTTAGTCTACAATGACTTCTTTACAATCTCAGTTGATACCCCTTCGTGCCCCTGGCAGGAAAAAACGAGAATAAGCTTTGGAACCTTAGACCTGAAAGCCCTTTGACAATCTTAAATGTCTCTATAAGGTCGCTCTGCATGCGTCTGCGTGCCAGAGAGAACAGGTTCAGGTCCCGCAGTCGTTGGAGGTATCCCTTATCTTTCTGGCCTGCTACC